TGGCAGATTGGCAGGTCGTGGCATAGAAGAGAGTCTGGCAAAGTTTAGCCATGGTTTGGCTGGAGGAAAACCTGTATATGACTGATCACAGAATGGGAAAACAATATTGGAAACCTCAGTTGGTAAACCCAGAAGCAGATACAAGGAGGCTTCAATGCGTACATCGCACTAAACCAGTGTTTCTCATGCTGGGCAATTTAGAGGGGTGTGCACTTGGACCCCAACCTTTCCCCAGCCAGGCTGGCTGGGGAATGCTGGGAGTTGAAGTCCACACATCTTAAAGTTGCCAAGCTTGAGAAAAACAGCACTAAACCATCGAATCATAAGTTCGGGAAGGGTGACTTGGTGTAGAGTTCAACCCTCCTGCTTAGCGCAGGAATCTAGTACATATTATTCTGGATTTCATTAAGGTTTAGCAGGAGGACTAGAAACTTGGTTTTTGCCCTTTGAGGGCTGTTAATATAATATGGTGACAATATACTACAGTTAAATTTCTAGCCCATTTAAATTATTGGGGGGTGGTAGTGAAAAGGGAATAATGCTCTGCAACAGCTTGTATAATTATAATTGACTTTTGCTCTGTGTTTTGGCTAAAAAAGATGAATAGTGATGCTGCTGGAAGAATTTTCCCAAACAGCTAATTTAGCCTTTCTTTTACTGCTAAGGTGGAAAAAAGGGAGCATGGGTTATCCCAGGCCTTCCAAAGGAAGCGTTATCCACCGTAGTGTGATTGAAATTCCTTCAGGTCTCCCCTGACTGTTTCCTCCAAAATCTCAAGCGGGGGGTGGGGGGACTGAAGGATCCTTTCCCAGAATGTTTTGACTTGGAAAGGGACTGACCTACCCACCCAGCTTCAGGGATAAGGGACCAAGGGCACCTTCTCTGTTCCTCCCCAGTTGATAAAGGTGTACCAGTTCAAGGCTCAAATGGTGGAGTCTCTTGGTCCTTCAAATGCTAAGTGAGCAAACCAGGGCCCCGAACAGGACAGGTCACTGGTGCAGAAGGACACGGTGTATTTCAAATATACCGATATGACAGCGTAACAGGGGGATGAGCTCAAGTTACAAACAGGACAGCACAGATACAGTTAAACCCTCCTCTTCTTGATCCTGGCCAAAACCTGCGATTAGCAGATAAACAAAGCAAGTTTTATCATCCTCAAGCAGGACAAAACTAATATTGTTAGTAAACCAGTCTTAACACATCTGGCAGAATGGAGTTAGGAATTGACAGCCCTCTTTGTTTAAGTGAAGGACAGTAGTGGCTCCTGGCCACAATCACACCCCTCCCTTCCCAGCCTTCAGCTGCCTATGGTGTAATCCCCCCAGATGTTCAAATCTCCCCCCAGCTCAGCCATTCTCTCCCTAGCAGTGTACTCCTGAGAGGATGCATCCCTCCCAACCCCAGACAATCCCACTGCACCAGCACAGGCGCAATACAGGTAGTCCCCATTTAGTGACTGCCTCGTTTAGTGACCGTTTGCAGTTCTGACGTTAATGAAACAGTAACTTTGCGACCAGTCCTTGCATTTACGACCTTTGCAGGTCTGTAAAGCAAAAGAAAGCTGAAGAAAGATCATAAGCACAGTTGCGGTTTCACTTAGTGACTGTTTCACTTAATGATCAAGTTGCCCATCCCAATTGTGGTCACTAAATGAGGACTACCTGTAAAAGCAGGAGGAGAAATTCTTGGCCCCCGCCCAGCCACCCCAGCACTTCTGTAGCCGTGCAACCAGGAGGTTGGATTCGGACCATGGCTTTCCCTTTAAGATCAGGGCCGACATATTACCCTGCGTGACTTGGAAGGTTTTTGTTGGAAAGAAAAATAACACACGTTCTTGGAGAGGTATACCTTATTAACGTATTAGTTAAGTCTTGACTGGATTTCATTTTTTCGGTTGCCTGGACTGCATTTCCAGAAGACAGCGGTGATGAAGGCTTACGCAAGGCTGGGGAAAATCAGCAGCAGAGAAATGAAATTGTGGCTAGCTGGTTTCCTTTCACCCTCTGATCGGTTGACTCTTGTGGTTGCTCTGGGGAGGGAGGGAAGATCGGGAACAATGCTGGGGATACCAGATTAGCAGCCGCGGATTAGGACAATTAGAGATGTATAGATGAGAAGGGCTGGCCTTTGACCTTAGTGATGCAAGGAAGAGCATTTGCCGGGGATTCTGTTAGCGGAAGGGGTCCCGGAGGGTAATTGGTATGCAACAGTGTTGTCCTGTGTGTTAGTTCTATTTTAGAGCCCTTGTTATAACATTTATTCTAAGTTTGGGTTCTGTTTCTTTACGCTCCCCCCTCCATTTCTCTTCCCTTGTAGGCGTTCCCTAAGAAATGTTCGCTGCTGATGCAAGCCATCTAGCCCCACGCGAATAAGGAGGTTCCCCTTCGGCCGGCGAGCTCCCTTCCTTCTCCCAAGGCTGTGCAGGGTGGAAGCCGCGGGGTTTTTGCCACTGCTCCCCCTGTTTCTTGGAGGCAGGGCCCATGTTCCAGAAGCAGTCATGAGCGCCGGCTGCGAGTCCAGCCAGAACAGCGGGGGCAGCAGCAGCAGCAGCTCCGGGGCTCCCAGGAGGACCCGGGCTCCTCGCGGGAGTGACGCCCAGGGCCAAGCCACCGACGACATGGACGTCAACAGCAACGGCTCCAGCGGCAACGAATCTCACGGCGATTCCCATAGCAGCTCCCACAGCAGTGGCAACGGCAAAGATTCTGCCCTTCTGGAGACCACCGAAAGCAACAAGAGGTATGGATCGGGTGTGCAGAGAAGATGGGCCTCACCGCCTTCTGGCAGGGGATCACTTTGCCAAGTTGGCGATGGGAGGTTGGATTCGGTAGTAAGCCCCGGTGGGCGGTTTGGTCATGAGAAGGTCACTGGGATGTGGGGCAGTTGGTCTGTGGCAGGGCCAGCCCACATCAGGGTATCCAAATGCAGGGTTTGCGTTCCCCAGGCAGCCGTTTCCCATTGCTGTCCGGGAGAACTAAACCAGCCCCTGCCTGCCCCATCTCTCCACAGTTCCAACTCGCAAAGCCCCTCTCCCCCCAGCAGCTCCATCGCCTACAGCCTTCTCAGCGCCAGCTCAGAACAAGATAATCCATCCACCAGCGGCTGCAGGTAACCAGGGGCTGGCAGGTGTGGGCGGGCGAAGCATGCAGGGGTGGAGAATTGACCCACAGATGTGCAAAACAGTTTTTGAAAATGGATGGTGGGAACATTTAGTAGGGAGAGAGAGCAGAGTGCAAATCTGAACGTTATGCCTGCAGCTGTCTCTGGTGCTCTGTGCTTGCTAAAAATGTTCTGGTAGAGGAATGTAAAGATAAGAATGCGTAATTTGGAAAAGGATGAGAAAAAAGAGATTATATCAAAGCAGCATGAAACAATTGAGCAAAAGTAATAGTTACCGTAAGCTATTTTGTGTGCGTCAAGATAAGTTTTTTGTTTTCTGTTGCACTGAACTTGAGTTGTTTTTAATTCTTCTCGCCGTGGGTGTTTGGAGAGGATGAGAATTTTGTGCGTGCGCGTGCATGCAGGCTGGTATATATGACTTGCGGTGGTTCAGCTGTCCTGTGCGAGTCCTTCCCAGAAGAGTTCGGTCTGCTGTTGCAGCTGGCTTGACTGGTCTCTCTTTCATTGGCCCCCCGCAGCAGTGAGCAGTCGGCACGGGTGAAGACACAAAAGGAGCTGATGAAGGCCCTGAAGGAGATGAAGATCCGGCTGCCCTCCGAGAAACGCAGCAA